TGCTGCGCTGTCGCCCACCCGCGCCCCCAGCATCCCGGGTAGGGCCCTTGGGGGTGTCTGGTCCCCCCACACCCTGCCTGCCCCCTCCCTCGCTTGGGTGCTTGGGGGTGCTGGCGCATGGCCCCCTTCCTGTTTGTGCCACAGGAAACCCAGCAGTGGCACATAATTCAGTAAGAAATCACCATGCTGGGGGTACCGGCACTCCATGGGGTCCGGGGCAGCCCCCTTCCCCAGTCCCACAGGTTTCACCCTGCTCCCTGGGCAGGGTGATGCTGGGGGCTAGGAGCTCTGCTACAGCCCAGTGCTGGATGTGGACCAGTGTCCCCGCCACCCCAGCGGTCCTTGTCCTCCACATGCACTCGATGCCACTGCCGTCCTGGCCATTTTGGGCAGCATCCTGGGCTGAGATATCACTCACCCCGGCACAGCCTTCCCCGGGGCCAGCTGGGGAGCACGGACTCCCCGCTGGCCTCTCGGTGCTCAGGCAGCAGCTCCTCACACCTACTTAGGGCTAAATATAGCCCCGCAACAATGCTGCAGCCCGGCTGCTGCAGAGAAACATCCGGGAAATGAGAAGAGACGAGGCTGCTTCCCGCAGCACCGAGGCCGTGCGGGGTGTTCTTCACCCCAGCACCCTGCAGGCTTGGGGGGCCAGTGGGCTTTGCCCCATCAGGGCAGCACCCAGGGGTGTTGCTTTGGCCACGGTTCCCTGCCCAGCTCTGCCACGATTATTGCAAAGTGTTCTTGGGGCAATTTGGGGCTGGGATGCGTCTTTTCACAGGTAAAATCCTCCCTGCTGTGGGTGCCCTCCGTCTGCTGACACGGCGGGACCAGCACAGGACAGAGAGGGACTGCTCCCCTCGCCATGAGCCCCGTGCGCTGTCGGGGCGGGGAGCCTGCACATCTCCTGCCCTTGGGTTTTCCACATTTTCACTGCAGAGGCTGCTTCTCGCCCCTGCTCTGCTCGTGCGGCCAGCCCAGCTGCAAACCGTGGGAGCCGGCTTCCCGACTGCCAGGACCTCCTCTCCCCTCCCCAGCTCTCTCTGCAGAGAGACATGTGTGTGTGATGTCCCCCTGGAGCAGCACAGGGGACATATGTGACCTAACAGGGTGGCTAAAGGGGGACAGTGAGCATCTGCGCCCGGGATGCTGGGATGGGTGTCTGGACGAGCTGGGGAGGAGAAGCGCAAGGTGTGGGGGAAGCAAGTGCAGGGCAGCAGCACTCACAGCTCAGGGTGGGACCACAGGAGGTTGAGGTGACCAGGGAGCATGAGACTGGGAGGGTCAGAGGGGCCC